CCCTAGTGGCCCAGTGGTTGAGAGTCCGCCTGCCAATGCAGGGGACGCGGGTTCGTGCCCCAGTCCAGGAAGATCCCACATGCCGCGGAAAGGCTGGGCCCGTGAGCCATGGCCGCTGAGCCTGTGCTCCGCAACGGGAGAGGCCACAACAGTGAGAGGCCCGCGTACCGCAAAAAAAACCAAAAACAAAACCACTCCAACTATGTGATAAATAAGCTACTAAATCACTGAAATTGCCATCGGTCTTCTTAAAACATTTATGCACTGACTTTCCTTTTACATTAATCTGATCCATCTGAAAGATGTTTCTGGTGTATTAAACAAATGCTGGGCCTCCAGTTAGTGAACTGGTTTTGTATTCATTAATTCTCCAAGTATTTGTATTCTGAGTGCCTTCTAGGGCTAAGAAGAGTCCTTGAGTCAAATACACACCAATCTATTGACTTCAGGGCAGTGAGGAAGGAACCTGGAGCCAGACGGCCTGCCTTTCCCAGCTCTCCCACCTTGAGCAAATCACTTAACCTTTCTGTACGTGTTTTCTCCCCTGAAAAGTAGGGCTAGCACCTACCTCATCAAATTAAATGAGTTAATACATGGAAAGCGCGAGAACAATGCCTGGCACATAGTAAGTACTCAATAAATGTTGGCTATTTGTTTAGTACTGAGCATAGGGAAAACCAACTTTCAGGTGCAGATACAGAGATAAATAGAACAAGGTGAATAAAGGAGGGAATACTTGAACTGCTTCTTGAAGGGAAAAAGGGAGGTTCACTAAGCAGATGGAGAAGGGCCAGGCCAAGCAGATGGTACAAGTGAAGGCACAGAATGATTAAACTCAATGGTGTATCTGGGGAACTGTAAATAATTCATTAGAGCTGGATTAAGAAGTGTGTCAGAATGAGGGGAGAGAAGCCTCAGGATTTACTGACCAAACCCACATGATGGGAAGGAAGTAAGGCAGAAGGCAGGTTTCTGGGTTGACTGTGATGCCACTAACCAGAAACAAATTATAGGAGGTGGTGTGGGTTTTGACTCGATGTGTTTGGTTTTGGACATACAGTATGTGAGGGGACTTTGAGACCCAAGCAGAAATGTACAATCGGATGCATAAATTTGGGGCTTTACAAGAGCATTTTGGTAAGCATACAGTGCAGGGAACCATCAGGGTTACTGATTGTGGTAGCCATGAACTTGGCTGACACTGTCAAGAACCGGTGTAGAGAAGAGAACAACGTAGGGTACAGTGGCATCTGAGGGCAGTTGGAAGAGAGGGGGCCAGAGAGAAGAAATAATGAGAACCAGGAGAACACAGGACCCTGGAAGAAACCAAAGGGGAAAAGAGTTTCACATCAATTAGGATGTTTTTGACGGAAAATGACACAACACTTAAACTGGTTTAAATTCTCAAGATTTATTGGCCCATACAACTGAAAACACAAGCCTCGAGAGGATCACCCATAAGCCCAGGTGAGGAATTCTTACCATCAACACTTCGCAGTTATATTGAGTGCTACTATGTGCTGGCACTGTTCTAGTCAATGAACAAAACAGGCAAAATCCCTCCTCTTCGGACTGTACATACAAATGCTTCTTGTTATCTCTCTCTCTCTTTTTGCATTAAAATGCAAATGCGATACCTGAAATTAGGAAAACTGTGTAGAGGGAGATAAAGAGAGAGAACTTCAGAGTGCTATGCAAAGTTCAAAACATTTGCTGGGAGCATAACGCCTTTTTGTTGGAATGTTTGAACTTCTGCACTAAGTGATAATGGAGGTATGAAAGCAGTTCACTATGGATATGAAACGCTAAAATCCAAAATACCACCAATGATATGTTTTAAAGCCCAGTGTGGATTTAAATGTCACCGTTTTTAACTTATCAAAGTTGCTGGGTTCACTCAGATACCTATAAAAATAATTACATTTTTCAAATATCCCCAGTGGGGCTTTGTTTCTAACTGAATTGTATGGCAATATGTTTTACATGTAGGTCATGTCCAAACCTGCATTGCTACATTCATATTTTAATTAAAAGTACATAGTTTGCAATAAAAGGAAACCTCACTCTCAGCCATTATATCCAACTAAGCACTATCCGTTTCTCAAATCAGTGTCTCTTCTCCAATGCCTTAGTTCACTCAGACACTTATCACTCTATTTAGACTACCGCAACCAGTCTTTCTGACTCGACTAGTAACCTACATATACATCCTCCTCATGGCCGCCAATGTGATTTTGCCAAAATGAAGATGAGTCCTTTGTTCTTATCATAATGTCTTGCACCCAAGAGGTTCTCCATAAATTTTGCATGGAACAGGATGCAGATTCTAGCCTGAGCTCTGAAGCTAACTCTTGGTGTATCCGTGTATTGTTTCATCTTGCTGGGCCTATTTTCCATTCTCTAATTTGGAAATGATAAAACCTACCCCATTAGGTTTTTGGCAAATAAAATACTACTATATGATTGAACTCTGTGAATTCAAAAGCACTACACAGCATTAAGGGTTAAGATTAGAAGCAAGTCCAAGTAATATTAGTATCTTAATGGCTACAAAGCAGGGTAAATTTTCTCAGTAATGTTCTTTGATTCCAGTTTTCCATAAAACTCTATAAAATTATTTATACTTTGAATTTTAAAACATGGCCCATGAATGCTTAGTTCTTTTCTCAAATTTTGTCTTTGCGCAAAAGAAGTCCTTCATGCCTGATGCGACCTAACTTCCTTATCTTAAAGATGAGGAAACAATCAGAAATATCAAGTGACTTGATTCTCTAAAAAGGAAGCAACTTGGATAGAGGATTTTCCGAATCTTCATGGATTTTTAGAAGCTCCTTCTCCACTGGGTTTTCACTACCTGAACCAAACAGCGCCTTATCTACAGTACCCACATGGACACTTAGACATGTTCCCAGGACATCTCTGAAGGGGGGAAAAATATCCATTCTCTAATGTGGTGATAGATGTAGAGTGACTTGAAAGTCCATTTTCCAACCAGGGATATTTCTGCAGAAGGTGAAGCAATCCATAAGCAAGTTCATTTCCCCTTCGGTTACTTGGCCATACTTTGAAAAGAAACCCGAGATACAAATGGCTGAGTCAGACTGCCCCAAAATATTTAGCCTCCTTCTTCCTAAATTCTCTCTCCCACTCCTAAAACTGGCTTGACCTGTACTCACATAGGTGCACATCTTCCAGCAGTTGCTTAATAATCTCACAAGTGTAGCAACTACCTTTCCTGTTTAAAATATCAGAATATTTACCCCCTCCAAGGAAAAGTGGTATTTTTGTTTCTCCCCTTCCCAGTTCTGCTACCTTCTAGAAAAGAGGCTCAAAGCACCACTAGAGACCAATCTAGTGATCTTTTGTTCTCTGTCACAAACTGATTGATACAAGATAGGAGTTGAAACAATGAGTGGTAGAAAGAGGTTAAAAAGATTTTCAGACAGTGGCTTGCTGGTGTTTTTTATCTTGTATGAGGTTCATTTTCATGCTAGTTTTTTAAATCTTGTAATATTTCAGTAACTTCCGAGATATCTGTTCCACCAATACATTCATCCAGACTATAGATTTTTCCAGATTTGGGAATCACAACCTCATATTTCCATTTTTGTCACACTGGACTCATGCTTTACCAGTTGATGCCACGCCCTAGTACATGATACCACTGCCCTCCCAATTATTCATGTACAAAGATTTCAACCTTAAAAAGTTTCTTGATTTATCAATTATTTCAACTTTGGGATTCAGATACTTGTAAACCTAGAGGATAAGCAGCTGTAGAACTGCATTTGTAAGTTGAAGATACAGTGGAAGCCATCATACTCATGTCCCTTCCTCAATCCACAAAACACTATGACTGGTACACTTTTAATGACTTTTACAAACTTAAATCTACTTGATTCATGTTCTCAACAAACTTTATAGTTTTTCAAATGTTGGTTTCCAGCATGGGGAAAACAATCAGACTGGGGATTTTAAAAAACTGAATAATGTCCTGTAATTAACTCTTGTCTCTTAAAGGCATGTAAGAATCGTGGAAAGACTGACGCAGTATATAACTGCTCTTTTTTATCTTTCAAAATGTTACAAATAACTTCACTGCATTTTGGACTGCAGAAGTCAAATCTAAGATTACAATCTTCCTAAATACCCCTTGTTGATTTTATTACTACATGCAAAGCATTAAAACAGGAGCTGGATAGAGAAAACACATAGGCGTAGGGTTGCCAGACAAAATATAAGATGCTCAGTTACATTTGAATTTCAGATAAATAAATTTTTACTATAAGTATTTCTCAAATATCACATATACTAAAACATCATTTGTTGTTTATCTAAAATTCAAATTTAACTGGGTATCCCGTAATTTCATTTGCTACATGTAGCAAATCTTTGTAGAAGATCCTTATCTTTGGCAAGCTTACTATTTAACAGGGAAATCAATGATCATAATATAAGGCATATATGATAAGTGCAGTAATATAATCAGGGGAGAAGATCTCTACTGATTACCACAGAGGAGTACCTGGAAGAGATGGCAACTACAGTTCCTAAAATATGACTTTTTTTTCAGTAATTTTTTTTTTTTTTTTGCGGTACGTGGGCCTCTCACTGTTGTGGCCTCTCCCCTTGAGGAGCACAGGCTCCGGATGCGCAGGCCCAGCGCCCATGGCTCATCGGCCCAGCCGCTCCGCGGCATGTGGGATCTTCCCGGACCGGAGCACAAACCTGTGTCCCCTGCATCAGCAGGCGGACCCTCAACTACTGCGCCACCAGGGAAGCCCTTCAGTAATGTTTTTAATGGTCTTCAGGCCGTATGGATCATTACAGAAATCAGGAGGGCAGAGGAATTTCCCCCTGAGCGAAGATGACTAAATTCTGATTGGCTGAGAGGTGGTTTAGTATGATATTTTTGGAGTTCAAGTGTCCTGAGTTAAATCTCAAATTCATTGCTCATTAGCTGTGTAACCGTGGATAAATTAATCTCTATTATAAAATGAGGCTATTAATACCTGCTTTATTAGGCTGAGGATTAGAGATAATATATGCACAAAGCACTTGGAACACAGGAGGCACTCCCTAAATGGTAATACCCACTATCAGAATGTCACATGGCAAAGAGGGTACTTGTCACAAATATTCAAATGTTAATGTTATGCAGTAATAGTAATACTGGTAATTTTATTTCCATGATCTATTTACACTGTACAAACACTGCTGAAAAGCACCCTACAAGTTCACAGTACAATATATTTACTTTAAAAATATACTCCTTTATAAAAGGTTCATAGAACATTGGCATGTCAACATGGGATGAAACTCAAAGCATGTCACCAATTCTGTGGTAGCAAGAATGCTTCCAAGTGTTGTCAATTTCACAATCACAAGTCACCATTTGAGTTTTAAATACATATAAGTTTTAAATAAAAAATGAGTTCTACAGTGGAAGGTTCCTGCACCAAAACTCATTAGTTAATTAACATATACTTTCATGGAGATGTTGTTTCATAATAATTTACAATATCAATTTAATCTGCCAAAAAAATTCATTTCAACAAAGTTTCACAGTCCAAAAATTCTTGTCATTTGTTTTCTATTTTTTCTTCTTTGTTGGTTCTCCCGGTTCTATTTTGCGCTTTTTAGAAGTATGCTCTTCTTTTTCATCATCTTTAAATAGGAAAGGAAGAGTTTCAATCAGTAATATTAAAAAAATGTTAAGCATTAAAATTTCATTGACTCTATACCAAAATCATTATCCTCAACTAATGTTTCTTTCAAAGTTTTCCAATAAAAAAACAAAAATAACTTTCAGAAGTTATTGCAAGTAAATTATAAGGAATTGCAAGTAAAAATAAGGAATTTTTTCAACTGTAATGTTACACAAAATCTACAGTGATCTTTTAGTGCTATATTAAGGTAGCTTAAAATGAGAAAATCAAAATTTGTTCTGATAAAGCTATTCTCAAATATTCTACAGTATATACATGGTGGATATTTAAATATATAATCTACATGTTAAGAATGGAACACATACCGTTCTTTTTTTTTTTTTTTTTTACAAAAAAAGATGTCAATTTAACCATGACATTATGTGTCTATCAGCTAGTCTTTCTCCTCCAATCTGCTTTCCGTCCCCCACAAACACCTGCCCCCATCTCATCGCCCCACCCCCAGCCCCACACATGCATTTTGAAGTTAAAAAGGCTTTCACAAGTAGATGTTTCACTGAAACTGTATTTTCAGTTTTGTCCTATGTAGGTGTTCTACATTCTCCCGCTCCTAGGATGGTCAGAATATTCCAATGGCAAGAGAAAAACAGACTTCTTCCCTGCCTTCATATTATGGAGAATATGGGGGGGAGGGGAGAAGAACCTCAAATTAAAACCATGTCCTTTACACTTTTCTAAAATATTATTAGTATCTGTATTCACAGAAAATTTCCAATTAATAAATAAAAAGATTGTAAAACCTGAAACAATGGGCCCTTTTATTCAATTAGAACAATCCAACTACATGTTTCAACAAAACACAGGGTAGCACAGAACGGCTGCTAATCCCCATCTCTCTGAACAAACGAATGGCATTATTTTAAGAACTCCATGTAGATGGAATACATAACACGTAGAAGATGTTATGATTTATAAAATACAAATTTATTTTAAGCACATTACTGAATTCATTGTACTTTATTTTCTCAATCAATAGATACTCAAAGTTCAATAACTACCATGTGGTGGCCTATAAAATATTTTGATGTTGAAAGGGGACTTCATATTAAAAAATTGGGGAAGCCATTGATATCAGAACATAAACTTTTTTTTCTCATTTCAACGTCCCTTTTATTAACAGTCAAAAAAACAATGTCAATTTTATTGTTATTACTTAACACTTCACATTGCAAAAGGACTTTACAGTCATTTTTTACATGTTATTTCTCGATATTCTTCTGATAGAGACTGGGGAGCTCTGTCCTATTCTTTTTTTTATATTGGATTATAATTGACACACAATATTAAGTTTCAGGTGTATAAACGCAGTGATTCGGTATTTTTATATATTATGGAATAATCACCACAATAAGTCTAGTTACCATCTGTCACCATACAGAGTTATCACAATCTTATTGACTATATTCTCTATGCTGTATATTACATCCCTGTGCCTTACTTATTGTATAGCTGGAAGTTTGTTCCTCTTAAACCCCTTCACCTACTTCACCTGTCCCCCCAACTCCTTCCTCTCTAGCAACCACCAGTTTGTTCTCTGTTATCAATGAGCCTATTTCTGTTTTGTTTTGTTTGTTCATCTGTTTTGTTTTTCAGATCACGAACTCATTATGGGAAAAATAAACTTAAAACCTTAAGCCTTCAATTCCCTTCTGCTAACTACCAGACTCAGAATATTTCCTTTGTTGATGTGGACAATAATTGGTATCAACAGCAGGTAATGCATCTTGAAACACAGCACAGTGATGTTATTCATATATTTAATAGAGCACTACAGATTTATGTACCCAGTATGATAAAATACAATTCAGATCAACAAATCATCCCAGGAATTTACAAAGCAAAGTTTTAATCATTAGTTTATCATGTATACAAAAAAATACTTGTTCTACAAACCAACTGATAAGGCATACAGTTTAAACAAGCCAAGGCCTTTGTTTTTTAATTGGTGCTTAATTATCATCATGCTTGACTTTTGAGACTATTTTCAGTAGTAATATAAAAATTGAAATTACTTTCTAACTCTACTAGAAAATGCAGTGTTAACATATATTAAAAAGACCATCCTGAGACACTTCTGCTTTTAATCTGTCACTTATTACAAGTTCATTTACTGAATAACAATAAAAACACAAACTACTGAGGTTGGAAAAATATCTTCCTACCAGTCACTGAACAGAAGAGCTAATGCCATCTAGTGATATAACAAGGGATTGTCTTAAAAAAAAAAAATCTTGAAATGTTCCATCAACTTTACTGAGCTTCTTACTCTGTGCCGTATACTACAGATGAACTTGTAAGGAAACAATTTTTATATTATGGAATTCATGTCACTTGAGGTAAACAAGCTTAAATTATTAATAGAAACTAAGGTTCTAAATTCTTAAAAAAAAAAGCATTAGCTACTTTAGTTAGACCTTCAAGATTAATTACATGTTAATTAAGCTACAATAAATATCTAAGCCTTAATCATCTACATTTTACAACCACGAAACAAGTGTTGATAAGTAGTAAGGATTTATGATGAGTTTTGAATTTTTCCCAGCTTCCTTACCTGGAACGAGTTAACTGGCAAAAAAGGCCAAAGGGCAGAAAATGAGAAGGAAAAATAAAAACAAAGTAATTTGATAATCTAAAAATGAGATTTATATTTAAGAGTGTGGAGCTTCTGTGACTTCCCTGGTGGCGCAGTGGTTAAGAATCCGCTTGCGGGGGCTTCCCTGGTGGCGCAGTGGTTGAGAGTCCACTTGCCAATGCAAGGGACACGGGTTCGTGCCCAGGTCCGGGAGGATCCCACATGCCGCGGAGCGGCTGGGCCCGTGAGCCATGGCCGCTGAGCCTGCGCGTCCGAAGCCTGTGCTCCGCAATGGGAGAGGCCACAACAGTGAGAGGCCCGCGTATCGCAAAAAAAAAAAAAAAAAAGAAAAGAAAAACAAGAAAAAAAAAGAATCCGCTTGCCAACGCAGGGGACACAGGTTCGAGCCCTGGTCCGGGAAGATCCCACATGCTGCGGAGCAACTAAGCCCGTGCGCCACAACTACTGAGCCTGCGCTCTAGAGCCCGCGAGCCACAGCTACTGAAGCCCATGCACCTAGAGCCTGTGCTCTGCAACCAGAGAAGCCACCGCAATGAGAAGCCCTCTCGCAACTGGAGAAAGCCTGCGCACAGCAACAAAGACCCAGCACAGCCAAAAATAAACAAACTAATTAATTTAAAAAAAAAAGCAGATTGCTCCATCTCCTATTGAAAACAAACAAACAAACAAAAGAATGTGGAGCTTCTAATACAAGATATTTTATGAATTAAAAAAAAAAGGGGGTTGGGCTTCCCTGGTGGTGCAGTGGTTGAGAGTCCGCCTGCCGATGCAGGGGACACAGGTTCATGCCCCAGTCCAGGAAGATCCCACGTGCCACAGAGCGGCTGGGCCCGTGAGCCATGGCCGCTGAGCCTGCGCGTCCGGGGCCTGTGCTCCGCAACGGGAGAGGCCACAACAGTGAGAGGCCCGCATACCGCAAAAAAAAAAAAAAAAAAAAAAAAAAAAAAAAAAAAAAAAAAAAAAAAGGGGTTAAAAAAAGAGGTTGGGAAATTGATCTGTGAACATAGTATGGGAGTTTGAAATGGCAAAAATCACTCCTAAGAAGAAAGGTATTCATTACAAAAAGAAGATAGTTACATTCAACAACCAACATTAAAGTCAAAATTGAAGATTTCAGTATTATCTTTTAATCTTATGATCCAGCTTTAAGCTGGCTGAGCACTGGGGTCCTTTTGTTTTTTGATATTGCCAACATCCACTTTCTAATGGAGGACCATCATATGATCAAAAGGTCAGAAATTACCTATGGGAATAGCAGCATTCTCTCACACATATTTCCTGCTACCTGAACTTAAAAGGCAAGCTGGAAAAAAAGATAATTCTTTCTACTTACTTGTCCTGGTATATAAACCTTGCCTTTTCCACATAGGAACAAAGATAGGAGAGCACCAGCCTATGACACCCTAGATTGAATATCAACTCTAGTGGCCTTATTGCCACTCTTCCCACAGGACAGCTACTCCTCAAGCACTCTCGCTTGCAAAACATCAAGAGACTAAACCCCAGTTTAATATGGCATTTCCATTTAAAGATCTGAATTTGAATTCCTATTCTGCCTCTTCCTAGCTGTGTGAATTTGGGCAATTCTTGAATCTGAGATTGTCTTCTTGTCTACAAAACAGTAATAATGAATCATGTATCACTTCTGTACTAGGTTGCTAAGAGTAACAAATTAGAAAACTTGTGTGAAGGTACTATTTTAGAGCCCAGCATTTTCTAGTTTTGTGATCTTGGACAAGTCACATAAGCTCTCATTCTGACACTTCCCTATCTGGTTTCACAAGGTGTTGTAAGGATTAAATGTAATTTATGCAAAAGTGTTTTTTATTAATTATATAAAGATACTATAAAATATGAGGTATTTTTAATGTCCACTTCATTTGGCATGTCCAAAAAGATGCCATTTACTGAAGAGGTACCTTCACTACTGACTTCTAATTCACACTGGGAAGTCAGTGAAAGAAATGGGAAAGCCAGGTAGAATCAAAACTGGAGAGTAATATCCTTTATAGCAAAAAAAGGATACACTTCAGAATGTGTATTGCATTTAATCGTCACATCTCTTTAGTGTCCTGTAGTCAAAAATGTTTCCTCAATCTTTCTTTGACTTTCATGACCTTGATACTTTTGAAGATTCAGCTAGTTATTTTGTGGAATATCCCTCAATTTGTGCGTGTTTGTGTTCGGCAAGGATATCACCAACGTGATGCTGTGTTCAAGTGACACTCAGTTTTGATTTGTCCTGTTATTTATGATCACTTTAATCGCTTGATTAAAATGGTGTCTGCCAGGCTTCTCCACAATGAAGTAACTCCAAAATGAAGGTACTATTTTTTTCCCATTTGGAATTAACAAGCATTAATTTTGTGAAGAGACACTTTAGATCTGAATAAATATCCTATTCCTTAAAAAAACACAAACAAAAAACCAAAAATTGGAGTAAGAACTCCTACCAGTTTGTTACCCTTTCTCTTGAAACAAACAAAATTCTCTGCAGTTGTAAAATGAGCTAAATAAGTAGCAGTTGTATTATGGGAAGATCAGAAATTTGTTTAACAAAAACAACACACTCTTTCATAAAAATGATAGTCAAAAATATTTAGTCCAATAATCCACTGAATACTCACAACATACTACAAACTGTATTATAAACATAAATAACACCTGGACCCTGCTGTTTAAGGAACTCATCTTCATAAAGCAGATAGACTTATGAACAAAAAATCACATAAAAGGAGGTAAGGGCCATCAATAGCATTAGCACATACAGGGTACAGAGGAGCAAATAATTAACTAGAGGAAGGTAATATTTGAGATTTAGATATTACCAACTCTCTTTTTCTTAGAGTTGGATTTTAAAGGATGAATGAGTTTACCAGCCAAAGAGGGAGGGAAAAACATTCCCGACTAAGGTGGAACATATATTAAAAGGCATGGAACCATAAAATAGCATGGTCTATTCAGTTTTGAATTTTAAGATCTTAAAGTTCTACAAGGGGGCCATCTGAAATGAGGGTGGAGAAAAAGGCAGGGCCTATCATAGAGGGCTCACTCTGCTGCTGGTGAAGGGTTTTAAGCAAGTGAGGCAAGGGGGTAAGTGGGTAAAAGTATGGAAGCAGAGATTACTGTGATTACTTACAATAATGGAATTGTAAGGTGGAATTATGATATTATGAACTAAGGCAAGACAACTAAGTCATTATCTTGTTACTATTGTTAATTACTATGTAGTAATACTCAGTTAAATCCATTTTGTGACACTAATTTTGGCTGTAAAGCACAATTGCTTTAATATAAAATGAAGCCATCAGCACTTCACAACTGCAGTCACAACAAAGAGTTCATGAAATAACTCATGCTGCTTTAATAATAAGGCATCATACATCAATATACTACTGGTTGAGACATCAAAGATTTCACTTTAAATCCTGAATATTTTATGACGTTTCTCAAAAACACATTAAAAGGGAGGGTAGGAGGGAGGGAGACGCAAGAGGGAAAAGATATGGGGATATATGTGTATGTATAGCTGATTCACTTTGTTATACAGCAGAAGCTAACACACCACTGTAAAACAATTATACTCCGATAAAGATGTTAAACACACACACACACACACACACACACACAGCAAAAGACACCCAAAGACCATCACAATCAGTTTGCTAACTGACTAGATTTAAGTTTCACTCATTAAACATCTCGTTCTCTTAAAACTCATCACAGGGACCAAAAGGCATTACCACTGGAGTCTGACTTTCCTTACCTGATTCCACTGTCTCCTCCCCTTCTGGGAGAAGCCTAGCTTTCTTAGCATTCTGTGGGGCATCATCACCATTGTCCTCATATATGTTAGACCATTTTATTGCCATATCCAACTCTGGAGGGGGAGGTTTCTTCTCAGTAGAGTAGGTCTCCGGAGGTGGTACATAGTTTGACTTCCATATTTTGAATTCCTTCGGAGGCTGTTAAGCAAACACATTAAGAAACACTGTGACGAACCGAGGTTCCTATAATCGGTATGGGCACATGCACCTCCCTGCAGTTCGTTTATTCTTCAGGCTGACTTTTTTTTTTCTTTTTTAAGGTTTAAAGACATATTTTTCCATCAAAATCACACTACTGTTAAGTGAAAAGCCAAAGGGTTCCCTATACGAATAAAGCTATTAACTTTTAGTTACCAAAGAAGAATCCAGTCTCAGAGATACTACGCCAAGGCTGACCCCTTCAGGAGGCTGCAGCAGACACTGTCTTGGAGGCAGCACCGCAGGCACTTCGGCATCAAAGGGAAGGGGTCTCGGGGAGAAGCTGCAGCAGGGGGGCGGGGGAGTCACCACCGTTAGTCCTAGCCGCGCGGGGTCAGGGCACCGAGCGCGGAGGTTTGGGTCTCCTCACAAGGGGGCGGGGCTGCGGATCCGGTCTGACACCCACCAGGCTGGGGGAGGGGGCCCGGGCTCCCCAGGGTTGGAGGTGGGAGAGGGTGGTGCGGCATCCCGCAGGGGGTGACTGCGTGTGTGGGGCGGACAGCTGGTCCCCAGGAGGGGGCTCAGGAGGAAGGGGGCGGAGGCCGGGACCTAGATCGGGAAACGGGGTCGGGGACCTCACCTCCTCTGGCGCCTTGACGACGTGCCTCTCCCAGTCGATCTGTTTGTTGAGCGGATTGTAGAGAAAGGCCGGGCGAGTCACGCTCCGGAACAGCTCGTCGGGTCCAGGCAGCCGCTTCTCCGCCTTGTTCCCACAGCCGCCCGCCGACTTCGCCGGATCCGAGGCCTTACGACTTGTCTCCTCCGGCTCGCTGTTATCCTCCTCGTCCGAGGAGCCTGAGCTGCTGCTCCCGTAAGCCGCGAAATAGCTCAGAGGATCCTTCTCCTCCGCTGCCATGACGGCTGCGCGCGTCGATCGATGGCTCCGCCGGAAGCCGGAAGCCGTGCCAGGGCCCGCCCCGCAGTTGGCCCCGCCCCAAGTCTCGCTGATGGGCCCGGAGTCTGCACCCCCTGGCGGCTGCTCCGTGATACTGCGGCCGGGCTGAAGGACTGGAGGCGGGGCCGCGCACGTCCTCAATCAGAGGTTTCTAATGCTCTTTTCTGAGGACCCCTGAGAAGAGACAGATCCTCAGGCAGGGGTCCAACCAAACTTTCAGATTCAGTAAGAATTTATTAAAGGCACAGAAAAGCTAAAAATTTTGTCTTTTCACCGCCACCTTAAAGCCCTTGCCCAGAGAGACCAGGATTTCTTTCGGATCCTGCTGCATCTCTTCCTCGAAATAAAATTACTCGCAATGTGCTTCCCTCAGTCGTCATGGAAGACCTCTATGGGTAAGTGGACTTACCAAGTCCCAGAGTGAATCCTCTCCTGCTTGACCTCATTCCAGCGCACTCTGAACAGCCTCCTTTGATGGAACTTCTCTTGTATTGCATCACACCACTCTGGGGGTCCTCCAAACTCTCTGGATTGTCAGCCTCCTTCCATGCCTGCTTTGCTCTGTACGGCCCTTAAACGCCGGTGTTTCCCAACATATTATACCAGCTTTCAGCAACACTTACTAACAATCTGTAGAGGGAGTTTACAAAGTTGCAAGTCAGACCATCCCTTTCCAGGGCATTAACTACCTTAATGCTTGTGACTCCCAAATCCGGGTCTCCAACTCCAACCTCTCAAGTTCTGGATCAAACCTCCATTTGGCTCTTAAACTTTATGTATGGACATCGTGCTGGGGTCTCAAACACCCACTTAAAGATCAGTAACTTGCCTTTACATATAACTTGCTTCTGCATTTGTGTTCCCTCTCTTAGTACAATAAACGATATAACCATGTGCCTAGCCACCAAGGGAACTAGAAATCTTTGACTCCTCCTCACGAACTCAGAGGGAATTATACCCAAGTGAAAGCAGTGAAGTTGGTATCAGTGTAAACGTTCACAGGATGCCTGTTCATTTACACGATACACTCACCTCCAGGAGGCAGAGGTCTTATTCACTCTTTCCCAGTCCCATAGCACAATGTCTGTGAGCTCCTTCCGGGGAGGAGTTGGAGTATGCTTTGTTCATTTTTATATTCCTAGTACCTAGCTCAGTGCCTGTCATTGAGTAGATGATCAATAAGTATTGTGGATTATAATTTATGAGGGTGTAGATCTGTTTCTCAAAAATTTCCACCCAAGTACCTACATTGACAAAGGAAAATGATGGTCCCAAAGTGCAAAGTTTGGGAGCCTCCAAAACCATCCTCAGGCTTGGTAATTTGCTTGAAGCACTCACAGAACTCTCTGAAAGCTGTTTTACTTGTGATTATGGTTTATTGTAGCTAAAGGATACTGATTAAAATCAGCCAAGGGAAGAGATGCAGGGTGCAGAGTGCTGGAGCCTTCCACATGCAGGGCTTCTGGCTGTCTTCTCCCAGTGGAGGTGTAGACAGTACTAACTTCTGCGGCGAAGACATGTGACAACATGCATGGAGCCATCTGGGGAAGCTCACCCGAAACTTAGCGTCCAGAGTTTTTACTGGGGATTGGTCATGTGGACATAGCCTCCAGCCCCTCCAGAGGTCAAGCTGATACAGTATGGCCCAACGCCCCTTGAGCATTAACAGTTTTTTGGAATATAGTGTAATACCCTGAAAATGTATGCAAATGTTATATACTAGTCCCTAATACAGCTCTTTTATTTCAATATACAAAAAAGAAAGAAGAAAATCCAAACTTCTCACAATGGTCTATAAATCCTTCCATATCTGGTCCTCGCTATCAGTGAAACCTCATCTCAATCCGGGCTCCTGAGTTCCCTAGTCACCCCTCATACTTATGTTCCAGCCATACAGGCCTGGGTGGTCCTCACTAGCTCATTCTTGCCTCAGGACTTTTGCACTCAATGTTACTTTTGCCTAAACTTCCTACTAGAACTTTACACAGCTGGCTCCTTCCTTCTTATGGTTTAGGCCTCAGCTCAAATGTTGCCTGCTTTGAGAGGAGTTCCCTCATAATGCTATAGACACTTTGGTCCAAGTTACTGTTTAGCTCATACATGCCCTATTTTATATCCACAGCAACTAGAATTATCAGGGTTTCCTTGTTTATTTTCTAACTATCTCCCCCAACTAGAATGTGAGTTCTCTATGAGAACATAGACATTGTCTGTTTTATCACTGTATCGCCAGCACCTAAAATGATAGGTAATCAATAAATATTGAATTATGAGTGAAAAAATACACAATCTCCACTCTTACCTTTCTGCCGTCTAGGAAATGTTAATAAGAGAGCATGGAGTTGTAGACAGAACACTGATCTTGGAGTCAAACAGCCCTAGATTTTAATTCTAAAGAGCTGTGCCACATACTTTGAGGAGCCATATACTTTATCCTGAGATTGTTTCTCGTCTGTTAAAAAAAAGTAACAATAAAACCCTCCTTGCAGAGTTGTTATTAGGATTAAAAACGAGATCACACATGTGGCAACACCAATCACTGTATTTGGCATCCAGTAAGATTGTGGTTTCCAAACACTGTTGCCCGTTGGAATCACCTAGAAATTTTTACCCACTTCTGATGACTGGCTTCCACAGCCTGGCATCCAGATCTTTAAAAGCTCTCCAAGCGGGCTTCCCTGGTGGCGCAGTGGCTGAGAGTCTGCCTGCCAATGCAGGGGACACGGATTCATGCCCCGGTCTGGGAAGATCCCACATGCTGCGGAGCGGCTGGGCCCGTGAGCCATGGCCGCTGAGCCTGCGCGTCCGGAGCCTGTGCTCCACAACGGGAGAGGCCACAACAGTGAGAGGCCCGCGTACAGCAAAAAAAAAAGAAAGAAATGCTCTCCAGGTGATTCTGAAATAGGCAGCAGTCTGGGAACCACCACAGTGAAGGACAACTGTCTGATAATTAAATACAGTGGCAAGGTCAGAGTAAGGCCTTTAGGAGCAGCACTCAAGTTACCCACATATTGTTTGTGCTTAAATTTAGCTCTTCTTTCAGAAAGCCCTCAAAAGATTACATTTAACAACAAAGATCGATTCCCTGCTTGGTTAGCTATTTTTTTTCCCTCCAAAATCAACAACGTACTTATTTATGCAGCGATACAAGATAAGGACAGAGCGTGAAACTGCCTGCTCCCTTTCACGCTGCTTAGGTAAAAGGACAGTAGCCACAAGACTTAACTTCTACTTTATACTGTACACAAAATTACTTTGTAATGGATCATAGAGCTAATTGTGAAATGAAAACAACTAAGTTTCCAGAGGAAAACATAGGGGATTATCATCACAGCACTAGGATAGGCAAAGATTTTTTAAACAGGAGACAAAAAACACTAACCACAAAAGTACTAATCATTAAACTAAATTAAATTTTAGAAAATGTTTATCAAGGGACTTCCCTGGTAGTCCAGTGGTTAAGACTCCACACCTCCAGTGCTTCCACTGCAGGGGGCACAGGTTCTATCCCTGGTCAGCGAAGTAAGATCCCACATGCCGAGCAGTATGGCCGAAAAAAAAAGTTTATCAAAACAAACCAAAAACCTCCCAAACAAAATTAAAAAATTCGAAACAACAAAAAAAATTGAAAGCAAAAAACCTGCCATTATCCTGGTAAGTTCCAAATTTGCCAGTGTTTGCCCTTGCACTAGGAATGACATGCTGACCAAAGATGGAATTAGCTCTTGAAAAAGTGACCATGAAAAGACATGCATGAAATGTAAATGCATATTGCTAAGTGAAAGAAGCCAGTCTGAAAAAGCTACATATTGTATGATTCCAACCATTCAATATATGACATTCTGGAAAAGACAGAGCAATAGAGAGAATAAATATATCAGTGGTTGCCAGGGCTGGATGGGAAGGGGTGGGGTGGGGAGGAAGAGGAAGGGATGAATAAGTGGAACACAGGGGATTTTTGGGGAAGTGAAACTATTCTGTGTGATAATATAATGGTGGATGCATGTCACTATGCATTTGTCAAAACTTATAGAACTGTATAACACAAAGAATGACTCCTAATGTAAACTATTAACTTTAGTTAATAATAATGTATCAAGACTGGTTCATCAATTCTAATAAATGCACTAATGTGAGATGTTAATATAGGAAACAGGGGGTATATGGGAACTCTGTACTTTCTGCTCAAGTTTTCTGTAAACCTAGAACTGCTCTAAAAAATAAAGTCTCAATTTTTTAAAAAGCAATTTAAAAAAGTGAGCTCGAAGGTGTTGTTTTTATATTAAGTGATAATTTTCACTGCTGCATTAATCAACCCAATAACCAATTGCACTATGTCATGTCACAGTATCATTCAAATGTATACATTTTTGGCAACAGCTGGTTTTCAGTGTTTAAATGAAAAATAAATTGATTTCATAGGATTCAGAAAACCAAAAGCCTAAGTTTGTTAAAACCTTAATTTTATTGTCTACGTAGTTAGTCAACAGTCTGAAAGAAAACTATAAATGTAGGTGCTACACCATATCTAAATTATGATCTTTGATTCCAAATAAATCCTATTTAAATTTTTTAAAAAGTAACTGCATATCAAATTTTATTTTAATTAATGAAATGAAAGCTTGCTTCTGCTTTTGAAAAAGGTTTAAGTATTACACCACTATTTTTTTTTTTTAATTGCCACTATTTTGTTATGCTACCCTGGAAGTGAAACATGTTTCTCCATAATCGTTAGAAAATGTTTATACTACAAAAATCACCCAGTCTTTAAAATTTTTTAAAAGTCAATATGCCAGTCTTCTTCACGATTGATAATTTCATCAGTCCATCCAGAAGTGCAACTCCATCTTACAACCTGAATTAATGTTTCCTATTAAAATTGGTGCATATAAAAAAAGTTTTAGGTATTTATTTCCTATTGAAAAATCTGAAACTTCCAAAACACAGCACTACAACTTAAAAACATTTATTCTTAATAGCATATTTCCATCTCTGCTTTTTGCAAGTAGTGGAAATATATATGAGACAGATATCTAGAAATAGATATAGTTTAATGAAAATAATGAAAGAAGATTTATAAATTTGTAAAATTAGTCAAACTTTGTCATAGAACAAAAAGACATATCTAGCTAATGGCCCGCTTGTTCCAAATAGTACTAAAAACAGAATTGTCACATATACACACACAAAAACCATTTTGTTCTAATTATTTCAACTGTACAGTGGTCCTCATTAAAAGGGAACAAAAAGTACAGAAAAAGTATTTTTAAAATCTCATTAAATTATATGTAATAACTGAAGTTTATGTCAAGATTTTTCTTTAGGAATGAAAATGATAAAGCAAAGAATGTGAAAATCTTAAGAAAGTAGTATTAATTAGTAAGATTAATAAGAAATGTATTTTGGCAAATTGGCACCGTAGGTGGCTCAAACTCCATTAGATATTTCTCTGAATCAGAAGGGGACTTTCTAAGTACCTGTAAGCCCAATTGAGTGGGAAAAAGATTCTTTTCTGTAGCTGGCAGTTTTCCCAGCAGTGATTGGCTTTATTATGAATAGGAACAGCTTAATTCTGAAAATGTACTGTTGAATGGTTGGAAAGGACTATTAGACTGTGAAACTTACTAGCACAAATGCACAGAGAAGAAACATTGTTCCCAGCCTAAGACTCTATTCTCAAACAGAGAAATGTTCTCTATTAAAATTAGTCTTAAAACATAAAAAAAAGTGAAAACACTAAATTACCTCAAAAATGAAGAGAAAATACTGAAGAGTACATGATCAACAAGAGTTACTTTAGCTATCTACAAGTATACTTCTTTTATTCTAAAAAATTCTATTTACAAAGTATGTTTACGTTGCATTATAAGACATGTATCAAATGTTAATAAGTCATTATAGCAATTTTATAAGATGATTCATATCCTTTCAAATATTTTTTGTCACCATTAAAAAAATTAAAATGCAGTAAACTGTCATTGCCGCAA